TTTGTTGAAGTTTGTAAGTTAAATAGTACAAAATAGTGTAAAATAGTAAAAATGGTACAACATTGTACAAAATAGTACAAATTAGTACTAAATAGTACAAACTAATACCAAATAGTACAGAATAATACATAATAGTACAGAGTAGTATAAAATAGTATAATAGAATATAATATAGTATAATATAGTATAAAAGAGTATAAAATAGTATAAAATAGTATAAAATATTATAAAATAGCATAAAATAGTATAAAATAGTATAAAATAGTATAAAATAGTATAAAATAGTGTAAAATAGTATAAAATAGTATAAAATAGCATAAAATAGTATAAAATAGTATAAAATAGTATAAAATAGTATAAAATAGTATAAAATAGTATAAAATAGTATAAAATAGTATAAAATAGTATAAAATAGTATAAAATAGTATAAAATAGTATAAAATAGTATAAAATAGTATAAAATAGTATAAAATAGTATAAAATAGTATAACATAGTATAAAATAGTATAAAATAGTATCAAATAGTATAAAATAGTATAAAATAGTATAAAATAGTATAAAATAGTATAAAATAGTATAAAATAGTATAAAATAGTATAAAATAGTATAAAATAGTATAAAATAGTATAAAATAGTATAAAATAGTATAAAATAGTATAAAATAGTATAAAATAGTATAAAATAGTATAAAATAGTATAAAATAGTATGAAATAGTATAAAATAGTATAAAATAGTATAAAATAGTATAAATTAGTATAAAATAGTATTAAATAAATTAAAATAGTATAAAATAGTATAAAATATTATAAAATAGTATAAAATAGTATAAAATAGTATAAAATAGTATAAAATAGTATAAAATAGTATAAAATAGTATAAAATAGAATAAAATAGTATAAAATAGTATAAAATAGTATAAAATAGTATAAAATAGTATAAAATAGTATAAAATAGTATAAAATAGTATAAAATAGTATAAAATAGTATAAAATAGTATAAAATAGTATAAAATAGTATAAAATAGCATAAAATAGTATAAAATAGTATAAAATAGTATAAAATAGTATAAAATAGTATAAAATAGTATAAAATAGTATAAAATAGTATAAAATAGTATAAAATAGTATAAAATAGTATAAAATAGTATAAAATAGTATAAAATAGTATAAAATAGTATAAAATAGTATAAAATAGTATAAAATAGTATAAAATAGTATAAAATAGTATAAAATAGTATAAAATAGTATAAAATAGTATAAAATAGTATAAAATAGTATAAAATAGTATAAAATAGTATAAAATAGTATAAAATAGTATAAAATAGTATAAAATAGTATAAAATAGTATAAAATAGTATAAAATAGTATAAAATAGTATAAAATAGTATAAAATAGTATAAAATAGTATAAAATAGTATAAAATAGTATAAAATAGTATAAAATAGTATAAAATAGTATAAAATAGTATAAAATAGTATAAAATAGTATAAAATAGTATAAAATAGTATAAAATAGTATAAAATAGTATAAAATAATATAAAATAGTATAAAATAGTATAAAATAGTATAAAATAGTATAAAATAGTATAAAATATTATAAAATAGTATAAAATAGTATAAAATAGTATAAAATAGTATAAATAGTATAAAATAGTATAAAATAGTATAAAATAGTATAAAATAGTATAAAATAGTATAAAATAGTATAAAATAGTATAAAATAGTATAAAATAGTATAAAATAGTATAAAATAGTATAAAATAGTATAAAATAGTATAAAATAGTATAAAATAGGATAAAATAGTATAAAATAGCATATAATAGTTTAAAATAGTATATAATAGTATAATACAGTATAAAATAGTATAAAATAGTATAAAATAGTATAAAATAGTATAAAATAGTATAAAATAGTATAAAATAGTATAAAATAGTATAAAATAGTATAAAATAGTATAAAATAGTATAAAATAGTATAAAATAGTATAAAATAGTATAAAATAGTATAAAATAGTTTAAAATAGTATAAAATAGTATAAAATAGTATAAAATAGTATAAAATAGTATAAAATAGTATAAAATAGTATAAAATAGTATAAAATAGTATAAAATAGTATAAAATAGTATAAAATAGTATAAAATAGTATAAAATAGTATAAAATAGTATAAAATAGTATAAAATAGTATAAAATAGTATAAAATAGTATAAAATAGTATAAAATAGTATAAAATAGTATAAAATAGTATAAAATAGTATAAAATAGTATAAAATAGTATAAAATAGTATAAAATAGTATAAAATAGTATAAAATAGTATAAAATAGTATAAAATAGTATAAAATAGTATAAAATAGTATAAAATAGTGGTCGTGGGACAATCGAGTTGCCGACACATGCAATGCGCCTTTTCTAAAAGCTTATACGTAGTATATCTATTTGTTTATAGTAAGAATGCCTACGATGTAGTTGACTTAAACATCCTTGTAGACAAATTAAGTTTATTAGACATTCATAATTCAATCGTATGTAATGTGGTAAATTTATTTAAAAATAGAAAAGGTTTACGTTCGCGTTAAAAGAATAGTCATAAAAACGCACTTTGTTGCAGACTTCTCACACATTCAATTTTAAATATAATAGGTATCCAAAAAATGTATTCGTATAATAGAAGAATTGATGAAGGTTTCGATGTAAAAAAAATATAAAAAGTTCACATGGATTTCTGAGAATTAAATAAATAAAAATGCCAAATACTCTCAGGATCACTAAATCTTTTGATACAAAAATAATAGTTATTTAAGTATGATTTTTACACTGAAACTTTCGTTTATTCTTAAATTTAACAACTGCATTTAGAGTATAGTATTGTGTTCAATATTTTTTGATCGAAGAATATGCAACGAAGGGTCAACAACAGTGTTATTTTAGATCTAGAAGTTATTGCTTTCACTTGGACAAAGTAGGTTACGGGACGGAGCGGAACGCCGTCATCATCTCGAACCAATCATGAAAAGGTAGACAAAGATGGGGAATATCATGCGGCTATGCATTTTCTTAGGAAGTATAAGCCCATTAACCCACTATCATTTAAATTATTACACATAGGATATTTTGTTATTAGTGAGGTTTTAAGTGTAAATATCAATATGGCAAGGAGTTACAAAACTTTACATGAAATGTTACAAAATAAGATAACAGGGAAGCCATCTGGAAATTGCACGATGAAATATATAAAAAAAGATCAAAAAAAATCTGACGACGATAAAGAGACTGAAAACCTACAATAGATATGAAAAAGGATAAAAAAAGAGTAATAAAGAAGAAATAGACTGTGGATGTTCTAATATTTCCTATATTTCGCTGTTAAAGTTGGAAGAAAAAATGCATGAGTTTTTAAGAAACTAGATAAAACACAATCAGAAATAAACGATTTGGAACAAGCTACTATAGAACCAAATTGTGCACTTTGGTATCCTAAACGAAGAATACGACTAACAGCTTCATGGCATGGAGCAATAAGCAAAATGCGAGAAGATACAAATTGCGAAAATAATGTCATAAACATATTGTACAAACCTTTTAAGGGAAATACAGCCACCAAGTATGGAAATCCAATGAAGATGTAGGAACAAAAACTGTGGCTCAGAGTATTGGGAAAGACATTAAAAAATGTGGTCTTTTTATTGATAAAACCTTGCCTTTTTTTGCCGCAAGTCCGGATGGCCTAATAGATGAAAATGGTCTATTAGAAATAAAATGTCCGTATAATAGTAAAGATTATACGCTACAAGAGTGAATAGAAAAAGGGCTTATAAAATTTGCAGTAATTAAACCTGATGAAGTTTTGGAATTGAAAAAAGATAATAACTATTACTTTCAACTACAAAGCCAGTTACGAGTGACAAACTGAGAATATTGTTTATTTGTCATATGGACTCCACAAGGTTTATTAACCGAGAAAATACCCAAAGACGACACTTTTTGGAAAAGAAATTGGAGAACATAAAAAGTTTTATGTTAATTGTATTTTGCCAGAACTTGTAGATTCTCGATATTCAAGGACATTTCAGGACATCAAGAGGTTTAGACCAAGACAATCCTTTACATTTGACAGCTCGACATTCCTTCCCTCAAGTTCCATCGATGGCGACAAAGAAGAAAGCCCAAAAACGGTGTGGTGTTTGTGCTAAAAGTGGACATATGTACCGAATGTAATGTGCTACTTTAAAAAATTGTTTTGACTGAAACCATGCGGTAAAAATCTATTAGTTGTGTTTCAAAAATCTCTTATATTTTATTTTGTTTGTTCATTTTGAAAGTGATATTTCTTTTATTATACTGAACAAATAACCACTGATTGTTTTATTTTACCTTTGCGAAAATAACCGCAAAATAGGTTTTTTTAAAATTAACTGCTCCGGACGTATATATACGCTATGTAACTACGCTGTTCCAGACGTATAAAAACGCAGCACTTAAATTTGTACGCACAAGAGGATTAAAAACTCGGGCTTAGCAGTGAAAGGGTTAAGCAATAAAGATATTTTCGACTTATTGGTTAGTTTGTTACGTTTAATTTAATTAGACCAATAATTTCATATTTTATAGTTTTATTTTCTTTTTCCTTTTCTAATACGCATCTGTGGCAAATGGACTCTATCCAATGCCAACAACTACACATAAAAAACATTCAAACTATGTATTTCTCTCTGTCATTGGTATTTCAGCTATGATATGCCACTCTGAAGACTCTCTCAACCCAGAACATTACAATTTTAAACAATAATGCTTTCAAAGAAGACCATAAGAAATATTTATTAAGATATTTTTTTACTCTGTGAATGAATATGTAGAACATTTTTGGTCTACATTCTACCTGATGCTAATAATTTTAAATTTGATTGGTATTAGTACCTAACTAATAATTGTTTTGCTTTATTCTCTTATTGAATACATTTATTTTAACATCCTACAACCAAATTATACTTGATTTTTTTTTCAGATCGGCTTTGGGCAGCGTTCCAAACACTCCAATCATCACACGCATGTCTCCCAGAGATAGTCCCGAGAAAAATATTTCCACAAATAACGTATTACCTCCACCACCTCAATCTTCGGGATCAGAATCTTCAGGTTACTTCACCCCTCCTCCCGAAACCAAAAAAGCATTCGTAAAAATAGATAGTGTGGAAAGAACTTCAGAATCAGAAGACAAAGAAGACTTGGAGAACGATACAAATAATAATGAACAAGTAAATATAGAGGAAGTAGATAACTCAACTGAGTCTTTTAAGGTATGTTATTTAGTAAGATACCAAACTAATGTGTAATAATAAAAATATACTCTTTAAGATGAAAATAATACATCATCCTCTATAACTCTCATAAGGATTAATCCTTTTTTTTGTAAAAGCAGTATTTTTTAAAAAAACTCACCAAAAAAAGAAAGCACTCTCTGTATCTCAAATTGTACGCTGGTCAGCAAATAAATTGATTTAGCACAATCAGTAATGTTTTCCGTAAAATATAAGTTAGCACCCCAAATAGAAAGAAACTGTAGAAAACTCCTGCCATTGTAAACAATTTATTTTATATTTTTAGAGAAACTTGTCGGCGAGTTCCGCCGAGACAGCAGATCCTACTGAAGAACCAGTTCATTTATCTCCTATAAAAACTGAAATAATAGAAAAGGAACAAATTCAAAGATTCAGCATATCCCGTTCCAAAGAATCCCTCTTCACCGAAAAACCTATAAGCGAATATCGAAGCAAGAGCAAATCTGTTGTAGACCTTCAAAATTTTCTACCGGAAATATCAGTACACAGAAAAAATATTAATTCAGCGCCTTCATTCAAAGATGAAATACTTAATGGTAACAACTTTATTATAACCAGCAGTGAAGAAGTGCAAACCGTCATCCCTTTGTCCAGTGATGTAAATGAAAACCCTGAATCGCCTACCAAAGAAATTACTATCACCAGAAAGTTAAGTAGAAGGTTATCAAGAACTCAAAGCAGAAGATCTAATAGATCAACTCCTAGAGAACCAACACCGAATTCTTCACGGGTCAGCAGCAAGTCCAAGGACTCCCTTCAACTAGCTCTCAATCAACTAAACAATTCTGAATGGGAGGTAATGATCCAGGGCTTGCAGGCTTTGACGAGGTTGGCTAAATATTACCCAGAAGTTATCGAAGCACAGATGCATACTGTTTGCGTAAATTTGGCAAAGCATATAAAGAATTTAAGATCGCAGGTAGCTAGGACCGCTTGTCTTACGGCTAGTGAGATTTTTGGGTCATGTAGGAGATCTTTGGAAATAGTAAGTAGAACATATTTGTTATCTTCAGGAAACAAACAAACAAACAGGTTTGTTATGTTTCTAAACTCAGTATTTTCACCAAAAAAATTACGATATAGACCTTTGAATTTCTTTTAATACGCGATTCACAAGTGCGTGTGTAAGCTACAGAAAGTAGGCATTGGAGTAACCAAAAAAGAAATGATGCCACCTTTGCAATTTATACAAACTGACCGCGTTAAAACGTTGCCCTGGTCATATAGGTGACATCGCTGGTATTGTTTTTTCATGCTAGCTTTAGTGCTGGCTCTCTGTAGTTTCGACACGCACTTGTGCCAAAGGGTATTAAAAGATGACCAATACTGTATATGTCCATATGTGGATGAATTAAATTAATAGTAAAAGATAATTAAAAATTACACAGATTCCTTTTAAGCATTAATAAAAAAATGCTCTTGTTTTTTTAAATTAGTAAAACTACTAGGATGTTCTATAATAAGTGTTCGCAAACTGACTTTACACATTTTAATCAACCCAAATTCTTAGTCAGAAAATAATGGATGTCAAATTATCTAATACACTTTACTATCATCTTCCTCAAAGTTGGTTCTGTAGTTTTAAGTATATGTTATAAAACTATTTAAAAAATGTGGTATTAAAGCTGATATTAATTAAAAAGAAATAAATTGATAATTTTTTTCTGATATTATGTATTGATGAAACTTTACATTTGGGTTTGTTACATCACACTGCCGAGTTTTATTGACATATTTTGCTCTTATAACAATAGAATAAAAACATATCATTTCTTGTTAGTTTTCTCTATAAAATATTTTTTCTGTGATTCTTCTGTAATTCATCTGTTATTTTCTTTTAATTCTTCTGTAATTCTCTTGTAATTTTTCTGTAATTCTGCTGTAATTTTTCAATAATTCTTCTGAAATTCTTTTGCAATCTTCTGTAATTATTCTGCAGTTCTCTTATATTTTTTTTCTTTCGTAATTCTTTTGTAATTCTTCTGTATTTTGTTTGTAATAATTTTGTAATGATTTTGTAATTGTTCTGTAACTCTTTTGAAATTCTTCTGTAATTATTTTGTAATTTTTATGTAATTCTGCAATTATTCTGTAATTATTCTGTAATTTTTCTGTAATTTTTCTTTAATTCTTTTGTAATTCTTCTGTAATTATTCTGTAATTATTCTGTAATTATTTTGTAATTATTTTGTAATTATTTTGTAATTCTTCTGTAATTCTTCTGTAATTCTTCTGTAATTCTTCTGTAATTCTTCTGTAATTCTTTTGTAATTATTATATAATTCTTCTGTAATTCTCCTGTAATTATTCTATAATTATTCTATAATTATTCTATAATTATTCTGTAATTATTCTGTAATTATTCTGTAATTATTCTGTAATTATTCTGTAATTATTCTGTAATTATTCTGTAATTCTTCTGCAATTCTTCTGTAATTCTTCTGTAATTATTCTGTAATTCTTCTGTTATTCTTCTGTTATTCTTCTGTTATTCTTCTGTAATTCTTCTGTAATTCTTCTGTAATTCTTCTGTAATTCTTCTGTAATTCTTCTGTAATTCTTCTGTAATTCTTCTGTAATTCTTCTGTAATTCTTCTGTAATTCTTCTGTAATTCTTCTGTAATTCTTCTGTAATTCTTCTTTATTTTTCAGTATTTTTTTCATTATATTTTTTTAGTATTTCTTCGGTATTGTTTAGGTATTTTTTCGGGATTTTTTCGGTATTTTTTCAGTATTTTTCAGTATTTTTCAGTATTTTTCAGTATTTTTCAGTATTTTTCAGTATTTTTCAGTATTTTTCAGTATTTTTCAGTATTTTTCAGTATTTTTCAGTATTTTTCAGTATTTTTCAGTATTTTTCAGTATTTTTCAGTATTTTTCAGTATTTTTCAGTATTTTTCAGTATTTTTCAGTATTTTTCAGTATTTTTCAGTATTTTTCAGTATTTTTCAGTATTTTTCAGAATTTTTCAGTATTTTTCAGTATTTTTCAGTATTTTTCAGTATTTTTCAGTATTTTTCAGTATTTTTCAGAATTTTTCAGTATTTTTCAGTATTTTTCAGTATTTTTCAGTATTTTTTAGTATCTTTTTGTATTTTTTTCATTATTTTTTTCAGTATTTCTTATTATATTGTCACGTTATGCGTGTTTTTTATAAAACAAAGTGTCACGATTTACGTGTTTTAAATAATTATGGGACTATCTATGTCCCGGGGGTTAAATAACAAAATATATGATTTTGGGCCTCAATCACAAAAACACTATTTAGCCTTAAACTTGGCTTCGTAGCCCTTAACTGTATAAGGGTTCTACTCTTGATGTTAGAACCTGACACGTCTCTGTGAAAGGGCTGAAGGAAACACAATGTTTTCTCAAAACAAATATAATATTAAAATTACAACGATTATACAAAATATGTCTTAACTCGACATACACAAATATGGGGCTCAATATAATATTAAAATACAAAAAATATTAACTTACCAACTCCAATTTTGGGGCACATGTCACAACTCTTGCCTGACTAAAATGCAATTATTCAAAATACTAATAAACGACTTTTAATTTAAACTATAAAGATTATGATCTGGAGCTGCTACAGGGAATCTCCTACAAGGGGGACCTCCTATGGGGAGGATCCGTTCCCTGTCGAAAAAGCCCTCGTGCATCCCCTCGACATTACCTTTTTAACTTTCTCATCATTTTTTTGTTATTAAAACTAATGTTTAATAATTATTAAATAACCAACCTTGCACATTATTGCTGTTTAAAACAAATTGTTGACATAATTAAACAAAGTTTTATGTACAGGATGTTATTTAAATAATTAATTAAAATTAGGAAAAATATGAATTTATACGAATTTATACGAATTTATACGAATTTATACGAATTTATACGAATTTATACGAATCGTGTTTTAGTATTTTTCTATAATTCTTTGGTAATTCTTCCGTCATTATTAACAAAAAATAGATGTCCAATGATCATCCACACAAAGTTAATGTGATATCAATGAACAGTGTCGAGTGTGATTTGGGACAAGTCCCGCCTGTAATTCGATCTCTTTTTTCAATATTTAACTATACTTTCTTGTATAATATAGGAATTAGAGGAAATCGCTGGTCCTCTTCTACACCGTACAGCAGACACCAACAAGTTTCTGAGGTCCGACGCGAACGCCGCTTTAGATGTAATGTGTGAACATCTTCCAATCACACGCGTCGTAGCTGTAATCACTTCCAGAGGCTGCACTCACCAAAACAGCGTAGTACGCTCTGCCGCTATAAGACTGTTGACAGATTTGGTGAAACGACATGGAACTGAGAAAATTTTTCAAATGAATAAAGAGGTAAACATTTAAAAAAATAATTTATACTTATTATGATTTATATTAACCTTCACCTGGCCAAGTGGGGTTCGTCGTGGGGTACATACCCCACGCTCTTTCTCGTCGATTTCGATATCTTAATCTTCGAAATCGAAATTCGTAACGACATCTATCGGTAGTCAAGGGTTATAATAATACTCTCTCTAATTCACCCCCTTACGAGTGAATTTTAACCCCAAAAGCTGAGCTTGTGCGGGGAAAGGGACGGCTATTAATATTTGCCGTGGCGCTCCGGGGCGACTTAAAGATGATTGATGGTGCCATTTACTTAGAGGTGAGGAAAACCCGGAAAACCTCAGCCACCATCATCGAGACGGTAATGCATGGTGATTTTATAATTTTCATGTCATATCAACAAAAATTGAATTTCTATTAATACGGCACACATCAAATCCTATACCGAACCATGCAATTTAATTAAAAATTCACATGGTCTGGTCTAGGATTCGAAGCCCGGCAGTCTCGGACCATAAACTTGCCTATAAACGAATATGAGCGCGTTAGACTGATACACCACTGACCCGATACTATTATACATAGCCCAGTGCGATAGCGCTCTCAAAATAAGTACCTTTTTTTTAAGACATAATAAAACAATTATTATTCTTTTATAGTGATGTAACAAAAAAAAGACGCAGCTAAAATTTCAGCCCTTTTTATGGAAAAACAAAAAAGTTATGATTTTTGTTGTAAAAAACGCATTTTTTTTCAAGTTTTCCATTTTTCCGGACTTTTATGAACGGTGATCTTTATTTTTTTCAACTCGGACTATTCTAAAGTTTAAAGTGGCAACTAAAGAGGATCTCTGAATTTTTTTGAGACAAAATAATCAATATTTCAATTTTTACAGAGATTTTTATCACTGGGGTTCGTACGTACCCCACGAGTCCAGGTATGTTACTCAGGATGAACATGCTGGGTGAAAATTAAAATTAGAACTAATATAATTGTTCTTCCTGCTTCCATCGTATTATTCTTTTCTTCTAGTTATGAAGGTATTGTAGATAATTTGTTAGCAGACATTTTATCTTTAGAGTTTTTATATTCTTTTAATTTTTTCTATTCTTTTTAAAATATGAACTTGATAGTATGTCTAGTTACGGAGGTATTGTGGATAATTTGTTAGCATACTTTTATCTTTGGAGTTTTTATATTCTTTTAATTTCTTTTCTACTCTTTGACGGCTTGCGATAAATTGATAGTATCACTGTTACATATAAATATGTATAGACTTATTCGTTTTAAAATATGAACTTGATAGTATGTCTAGTTATGGAGTTATTGTAGATAATTTGTTGGCAGACGTTTTATTTTTACAGTTTTTTTATATTCTTTTAATTTTTTCCTACTCATTAACGGCTTGCGATGAATTGACAGTACCACTATTACATATAGATATGTATAGACTTATTCCTTTTAAAATATGAACTTGATGACATGTCTAGTTATGGAGTTATTGCAGATAGTATGTGGGCAGACGTTTTATTTTTACAGTCTTTTAATATTCTTTTAATTTTTTTCTATTTTTTGACGGCTTGCGATACATTGACAGTAACTTTGTTGGTAAGGTGTATGAATAGATTAAATCGTGTTAAAATATCAACTTGATAATATGTCTTGTTTTGTACTAATTTAAGATTGTTTGTTGGCCGCGATATATCAAAATCTTAAAAAGACCAAACTTTCATTTCTCTTGAATACAAATTTTCTTAAATCTGGTTTAATGTCTATTTTATGGTTTATATTTGTTTTAAATGATCTGGCTTCTACTTTTTATTTGATAATTACTGCAATATTTATTTATTAAAATTTATTAACCTGGGACCGACGCCACTGTTCTTTCGGACTCCTTCGCCATATTGGCTGCCAATTTTGGTCTGCTAAGACATCAGTATAAAACCCTATATTGCCGGAATAGAGAAAATGAGCAAAATTAAATTTTGAGATACCATATAGAGTGTTTCACTAAAAAACATAACTTTGGTATGCTGTACCTTTATGAAACACCCTGTATATTACGAAATAATTTTAAAATGCTGAGCTGGACTTTGTCTATAATTTGTATTTAAAACTTTTCTTCGTATCCCTCAAAACAAGAGAGATATCAAACTCCGGAGTATAATTTGATCACCCTGTATGTAATTTGAACCTCATATCCAAAAACAAACAAACAATATTTGGTGATTAAAAATTCCACAGTTTTCTAAAAAATGAATTGATTCCAAATTTAGTCTCTCACAGTATATTTGTTGTATTGTTTGACTTAACCCTAACCCTCCTAACACGGGTACCTGGGTACCCGAACGGACTTTGAAGTCAAATATTTTTCAAATAAAAAAAGTTACATATTTGAGGTTCCATGACATCTTAAAAACAGTTGTTTTCTATCGTTTTTCGCATTTTTAGCTTTCTAGAATTGTTTGAGCCGGTTGTGGAGCCGCCCAAAGTCGAGTAGTCCTTACCCTCCTGATAAGGGTACCCGGGTACCCGTAAACTTTTTAATACATTTTGTATGAAGAATGTGAAATAAAGAGACATTTTTGGTTTGTTTTTGTTTTTTTTTATGCTTTTTTTATGTTTTATTGATTATTAAGAATTACAAGTTATTTTACAACAAATTTTAAAGTATTATAAGGATAAAAAAGAGAAAAAAAAAACAATAAATCAGCAGCTAATGCATCGTGGTGCTATGCATTTAGTGTGCGTGTTGCACATTGGTCGCTTACAGGCATCACATTTCTTGCGTGTCTTTCTGTCGGATTTGGGATTAGTTGCCACGCAAAGGTAGCAACGACCCTTCAATGGTAACCGACCAGTTTTATCTCGCTCAGTTCTGCCCGATGGGCCCGCAGCATCCTGACAAGCTGGCTCAGAGATTTTTTTGTTGAGCATAAGCTCAAGAGCTGCCCGGACATTGGTGAATCTGGTTATTCTATTATGAGCGGTCCTTTCGTTCATGTTTTCCGTTGCCAATTCCACGCCAAGTGATGTCAAAAAGCCACGACGAGAGCTTCGTCTTTTTTTGACGCTTGGATGGAGGCTGGAATAAACACAAAATGCACCCAACGCAGCCACGTCGATCATGTTAAAAAAAATTGCCAAAGGCCATCTATTTGTTTTACGTTTGGTGCTATATTTGGACAGCATCTGATCCATTAGATCAACTCCGCCTTTGGTCTTGTTGTAGAAGTCATTTATCTCCTCTTTCCCATTAACTGCTTGCTCCCCTCGTGAATAATGCATCGTTGACAGCAAGAAAACGCTTTTCTTTTTCTTGGTCACGACAGATAAAAGAGTTCCATTTTTGTTGAATGCATATCGGGGTGTACCTATATCGTCAGTGGGATTAGGCCGTAGCTCTCTTGGAATAAAAGCTTTATTTTGTCTAAGGGTACCGACGAGGCTCATTCCTCTTATTCGTAACTGATTAGCCAACGTGAGTGAAGTGAAGAAATTGTCTGTCGTAACATTTAGACCAGATTGTTTGTAAAAATCAACCAGAGCTAAAACAATAGTTTCCCCAACTTTTACCTGTCGCTGACCACCAGGTGGTTTGCCTGTGTAAATTATTCCAAACAGAGGATAGCCATCGGATGTGTTACACAACCAAAATATTTTAATGCCATATTTTGCCGGCTTTGATGGAATGTATTGGGTAAAACTGGTTCGTCCTCTAAATGGGAATAACTGCTCATCCACTGTAACGTTTTTATCCGGATAATAATTTGTTTGTAGATTCTTCATCAGCATATTCCAAATATCGGAGATAGGAGCGGCTTTGTCTGTTTCTTTGCGTGCTGATCTCGTAAACGCGTTATCAAAGCGAATTACGCGTAGTATTTGCTGAAATCTATCGCGACTTAACGATGCTTTGTACAATGGATGACTGTGATTGCCCCAAAGCGTTGAAGGAGGATCATCGCTAGCCCCATTTATACCCATAACCAGCAAAACTCCAATAAAAGCATTAAGTTCTTCCATTGTAATTAGACGAAACTCGCGAGGTTTTACCTTTTGAATTGCAATATCGGCTGCATTATTCCGGTTGAAATCCAATGCTACTTCATTGCCTTTCTTGTTGCTGTGTCTGATGATCTCATTTTTTATGTTATCTGTCATAAATTCATCGAAAATTTCCTTAGCTGTCATCACTCTAGTAAATTTGCGATGCGGTCCACCTAAACAATGAACAATAAAATTACTGCTACTACACTTATATTTCTACCCACCTTTGTTGCGCAAAACATTTTGTGATGGAGTTTGAACACTTCGTAGTTCTTGGGAATACCATTCAGTCTGGTCAGTTGCTACATATTTCTCAGTAATTACAGGAACTTCGCCACGCAATTCAAATTCGTTGTCTTCTTCTTCCTCTTCAGCCTCAACGACACCTTCCATTTCTATATCCGAGGCTTCATCTTCATCAGGAACCCATTCGTCATCACTGCCACACTCATATTCGATTGGCTCGGTTGTTTCGTCGTCTTCTACTTCCGTTTCACACAAGATATCAATATCTTCGGCGGTCAAACTAATCCAAAGTCGCAAAAAAGAAATTAAATAATAGTCAATAAACTAATCAACTTAACTTACGCGGATATATTTAGATAACCACTTCTCCATGGTAAATGGTCTATATTCCTTAATGATGATACATTTCTGGTTTTTGGAGATTGCGTAGGGTGAGATGGCCCAGCAGCACATGGTGTAGCACTAGATGATGGCCCCGCACCAGAAGATATACCTTCAGACACTTCCATTTCCATAACAGATGCATTACGTTTGCGCGACATCGAAAAAACTTAATAAAAACAAAATAAACCAAGCAACACAAACTGTGAATCCGAAGAGAGAAACAAAACGACGCGCTCACACACAATATTGAAGCAACTGTACAAGCCAAAGCCCAAACACATACTGACAATGCGAAGAGAAACGAAACGACGCGTGCGCACAGAATCAAAAATTCACAGTTTCCATACAAAATACACACGGGTACCCGGGTACCCTTATCAGGAGTCTACGTATGTAAAAGTTATCAGGACGGTTAGGGTTAAATTTTACTTTATATACAAGGTGTAGACAATTTATAAATGCACACTACGAAGAAAAATAGTGCTTAATTATTATAATACCAACTTATTTTGAGAAATAATTGTTTATACACCTGTGGCAACCGGATTTACTAATGTCAACCCTCCTTTACCACAAACACACGCGCGCGCATTTAGGTGTCTCCACATACTTTGATTTTCTTTACTATACGGTGCAAGAGAGAGGTCCGACACGCCCAACATAGGGCGCGGCCATTTTGATTCCTATGCCACAGTTTATAGCTAAAGAATCAGATCGCTCACTTTGCGTCGGCACTTTTGATCTCAATGTTCCAGTTTATACACTGCGCAACTCGGATAATACAATATATGACAACCGCCTATAACAAAACAGCAGTCTTCTGCGTATCCTGAATTTGTATCCCCGGAGTGGATGTTACTTTGGAACTTTCAGCTGGTCCGAGTGAGCTAACTGATTCTTTAGCAATAAACTGTGACTCCAAAAATAATATTCACTGACACTGACAGCAGCAAGCAAAATATCAGTTGCGTTTTAATCATCCGCTTCTGCTTCCGGAATTGTTGGTTTAGTCGTTTTAACCTGTCAGATTAAAACAAGAAAACCGACAATTCCGAAGCAGAAGCGGATGATTAAAACGCACCTATTAAAAATATTGCGCCAAAATGTAGGCAACACGTAATAAGGGTTCAAAATGGCGGATTTTTCTATCTCCTTTTAAAAGGCACTCAGAAAGCTGCGCAGTGCGACCATTCTCCGTATAGTAAAAGAAAATCAAAGTATGTGGGTGTCTCAGGTATTTTGATACCAGGACTGATGTCTTAAGTTTTTTTATAATTAAGTAATTTTTTTCCTGTTTTTTGACAGAATTTTTTATAACTGGTTTACGATATTACAATATGATGGTATCTGTGGTTTTCCTCACCTGTAAGTCAAATGGAAACGTTAATCATTTATTAGTCGCCCCGGAGCGTCATAGCAAACAATAATTACCCCACACAAGCTCTGCTTCTCTAATTAAAATTTACTGTAAATTTTAATTGCCTAAATTGTTATGTCAGTACAACGAATAATTTTATTATAATTTCATTTCAGGTTAGAGACAAAATACTGTTAGCCGGAGCCAATGCTTTGGCAGATGGAAGCTTGGACGCCAGGAACCACGGGAAGGAAATGTTTTCGTATTTAATTGGATATCCACAATTTCAGAAATATCTATTAGACGTAGTACCTCAGAATACATTGAGACATATAGCTAAGACGCTCAATTCTATTAAACCTCATGTTGACACGTAACCTTAAATAAGTATAGATTTAAAAGTCACTTTACAACTCGCAATTTTTTTTATGTAAATAAAATTGTTGCATTTCCTATTGATCACAAGATAAATTGATATCGGTATTATACGTTGTAATTCCTTGCAAAGAAGGTTGCTAACTTAAGTCACCAAGCAAGTATATACTAACTAAGTTGGGAAATAGCTTAGTCAGGGCCAGTCTTTTCACTTCTGAGTAAAGCTGAAAGTAACTACTTGCTGATTAAACTGTAGGGCTATTGTTTATTAATCTAATAAATAAACCTACATTATAACTTTAGTCACAGATGAAAAGATCGACCCTTACTATACTAAACAAATTAGACAACATGTTAGATCAAGTAACTAGCGTCTAGTACCTGATCTATAACTTTTGATGTAATATACTCGTCGCATCAGATTTTTACTCTTTACTGAGTGGCAATACCTGAAAAGTGTTTTCGGTCTCACTTGGACACCATTTGTAAAATTTAAATTATACAGGGTGTTCTATAAGTACGGTACATAACTTCAGGAGCGTATTCTGGAGCTAAAATAAAGGTGTGAAAGTTACATTGTCCGCACGCCATTGATTAAACGAAAGCCACTGTACAATAAAACACACAACGTTGCTAACTCTCAAAAGCTGCAAAAATTTAATTAAAATTTCTCAAGTGGTTTTGGAAATATTAAAAAAAAATTGTATTTTTTTTTTTATAAAATTTTCACACCCTGTATTTCCGTAACGAATCATTTTTGAGACATACAAAAATACCCATATTTTAGCTCCTGAAGTTATGTACTACTATACGCTATGTCTGCATTTGCCATTATCCGCCAATTTGTTAACAAATAGCTCCAAGGAAAATCTCAATTTTAGAATAGAATTAAATTTAAACTTACCAATAAAGATTACATTTTTAACAATTAGAACTGTTTGCCTATATTATTTGCACAGTCCAGTGTTATTAGTCAGTACATTCTTTTATTCAAGATTTTTATTATTCAATATTCAAGTATTTGAGAGAGTTAAAATGCGAAAATTATAGAGTAGGTGCTAGGCGCTATTAAATAAATAACGATTGCCTTGTACTCTTAGATGTACAAAAGAAATAGATAGGTAGCAGACCACCTTTGCTTTGTTTGGAGCTAGGATAAACACATTCTTTTAATCGTCTATATTCCAGTAAGTTAGTATACAAAATGTAATACAAAACAAGTCAAAACAAGTACATTTTCAGTTTGTCTCAATTTGCAATTGCAAGAAGAATTAAACAATGAAAATGACGTTATTGCGAAAACCAGCAATATGAATTGCGACATACAATGAAAATTGCGAACTGTAAAGTGGTCTAAGGCAATTACTAAGTGCAACTGGTTTAAGTTGCTGTTTGACATTATATTTTTATGTTATTTATTAATAAATTTATTTGAAATCGGATATAAGATATATTTAAAATTAAATTAAAAATGGTTAAAAGGGAAAATAAATAACTTAAATGTATTGTAAAATAATACGAGTGAACATTTGTTCCTGATAAGCAATTACTCCTTTGTCTAAATACAAAACAGGCATTAAATTGTAAGAAAAATAAAAACGATAGAAAATTAATTTAAAGACGATAGTTTATTAATATTGAAATCTGATCAAAAACTGACCAACTAGTAATTTTGTGTGTAACCTACTTAACTAAAGTTGCAACCTCAGAAAATAAAGTTGTACTCGCTAGTGTACCTGATAACTTAATTAAACTAATTTAACCTTTAACTCTAAACCTCACAATACTTTACTTTGTTTTTAACACAATTACTTTGATAACTTAAAAGGTTTCTTCTTGTCAGGTTGGTGTTGTCAATAAGCTAGATCGCTTCAACATTCACATGTTGGTGGAACCGTTGTTCAGGACTTCAAGAATTTAGTGGTTAACAATGTTAATCTGAAGATCTTGATAGAGGTCGCTGTTTCTAATGTATTAAGTAGCATCGGCAATATTCCTCAATACTTCGTTTTGGAATTTATAAATTATTAAATTATTAGAATATTACTTTTTCTGACACAATCCAAGAGTTGAATTCCGTAGGTCCAAAATGTTTTGAGGACTAGCTACTGTTAAAATTTTATATTTATAAAATAAGGGTTTACAAGAAGCATAATTATTAAGTTTACACATGTACCTCAGGGCCCGCTTTTGCATAATAAAGACTCTATTAAATAGCTCGTCAGAACATGCACCCCAGAAACAAATGCCATACCTCAAATGGGATTCTATCAGCGCAAAATATACGTTTCTTGCAGCCTGCAAACTTAAACTGTAGGTCACTGATCGTACTGCAAAACAACCCGACGCTAACTTTTTACATAATAAATTTATGTGACTTTTAAATTTTAGTCTATAATCAATAGATAATCCTAAAAATTTATTTTCATTTGTAACGTTAATAATTTCGGCTCCCATTGAAATGTTTTCCATTTCACATTTAAAACAAACAATATTGGTTTTTGAAATATTAAATGTTAGATAATTAGCGTCACACCATTGTTTAATTAATTCAATGTCCCTGCTTATGATACGATGCAAGGTTTCATTATTGTTGATGAGCCAAAGCACTGTCGAATCATCAGCAAAAATTGCAAATTGTCCCTGAATGTTAATAGTGACAATGTCATTAAAGTATATAAAGAAAAGTACTGGTCCCAGTACTGATCCCTGCGGAACTCCGCAGTAAATATGTTCTGACATTGAGGATTGATCATTTAAAGTTACCTTTTGAATTCTATTATTTAAGTAGGATTGAAACCATTTTAAAGCAATTCCTCGAAAACCATATTTTTCAAGCTTGTCCAGCAGTATTTTGTGATTCACACAATCAAAAGCCTTGGTTAAATCACAAAACACTGCTGCAGCGACCCGATCGTCATTAATTTCAAGATATAGTTTTTGCAGGAGAGAGAACATAGCATCTGTAGTGTTTTTTGCTGATTGAAAGCCAAACTGAGAATGGGAAAGTAACGAGTGCTTATTTAAAATATCCAACATTCTTGACTTCACCAATTTTTCTATTACTTTCGCTAAGGTTGGTAGTAAAGATATGGGACGGTAATTTGTTGGATTATTATGGTCTAACATAACTAACGAACTAAGAGTATGTAAATTTTAAAAAAATACATTTATTGCCAGTGAGTAAAAATCTAACGATTTACCAATGGAGCAGCCATATTACTATTAATAAAGTTTTGCGAAAAAAACATATGTATACACTGTCCGAATTTAGGACATTTTTCTAACTTAAGACAATTTATGTTAAGCCATAAATTCAATAGTTAAGTTCGGATACTACAAATTTTACTACAAGTCAAAAAAAAATTGAATCGGAATAAAATAAGGGTCTATAATCTTACTTCAAAGTATTTATTAAATTATAGTATAATTAAATTAACAAAAAATTGTCAATAATAAAACATTGTATTTTGGCAAAACACTTTTTCTGTCTCAGTCTTTTATTGTTTATTATAAATAAACCTAACCACTGTATATTTCCCAACTGTTGGACGATCTTTAAAGGCTTCTTAATGCTTGTTGGTCCTATCTGGATAGTCATTGAGCTATTCATCGATTTCCTGTGCACTATATTCTGTAACTTCTTCGATATCATTAAAAAATTCTTCTTCGTGCATCACTTTCTCAATTGCTACCGGTTACATTTCCTCCTCTTAATTTGCCTGTTTTTTTCTTTTTCCTCCACCTCTTGATCATCCGCCTCCTCTTGTCTATCTTTGCTAGTACCTGGTATATCGTTTGGCGTAATTGCTTTGCCGGGCGATACATTCAATTTTTTTCTGCGTGCCCTTTTAGGCTTTGTATCAGACAATCTTGTCTGTTTGAGAGAATAGCCAAATATTTAACCCCATTCGGGTCCATTGTCTTCTGCTACTACCTGGTTGACTTCATTCACGATTCTCCTTAAGACTTGTTGTTTATCCAAAGGAAATATACCGCAAGCTAGAAATCCAGGTTTTATATTTGTGGCTTAGGATTTAGATATTGACTGCAATGTGGTTTTTAAAAGTGAAGGAAAATGATCTTTGGGAATAGCTCCGCGATGTCTTTTCTTCCATTCTAAAAGTGTATTTCGCCAAGCTAGTTTTAGAGGTCTAAAGAAGGAGACGTCGAATGGTTGACACAAATGGGTCGAATTTACAGGTAGTAAAACAAACTGGATGTTGTTTGTTTCACACTTGTTATTTATATTTATAGACATATGGCTGGCCAAATTGTCGCCGATTAAAACTTTTTTCCCCTCCTGTTTCTTTAGATATATATCTTCAAATATAAATCCGTCGAACCATCCGCTAGCACTACGATTGTAAAATGTTCCTTTTGGTCCAAGTATCGTGAAGGTGAAAAGCTTTACAAAACGATTTATACAGATATACGTTTAACCGATGCTGTGACCGAAAACATGACAGATATGCTACTTTTAGACGCATCTAGACCCTGTCAGTGTGCTTGGCTCGTCGCCGAACGATAACTTTTTGCTGCCTTGGATAATCAGTCATGTTCGTTTCGTCATAGTTCAGAATATTTGCAGCAGGAATATTTTCTAAAGTTGACTCTAAAGCAAAATACCGATCGATGATTTCTTTGGATCCTGCAGCCCTCTGTCGTTTAATATTTTCACTTAAACGAGCTGATAATTTGTCTCGGTGTCGTGTCATAAACGCGTGTATCCATTTGGCACCAGGAACGTTATTAATAAAACGATTCTCAAGTCTAACGGTTCTGTCCAAAACACTTTTTACTTTCCTATCTGTATACAGATATAAGGAAAGTATAGGAATCATGATTTTTTTCGACCTCGAGTTTTCGACGGATTTTTACGTTTTGAGGTCCCCTGAATCCGTTTTGACTATTTTCGCGATGATATCTGTCTGTGTGTGTGTCTGTGTGTGTGTCTGTATAACGCATAACTCATGAACCGATACACAAAAAAACACCAAATTTTAAACTTAAGCTTTGTTTTAGCGTCCAATGAGCTGATTAGATTTTGGGCAGAGTCGGAACATCTGGGGGGGTACTTTATGGGTGGTCATTTTTATATTTTATGGAATATATCTGTTATGTACGTTTGGAGAAGAAAATTCTTTAAATAAAAGTTACTTCTTATATAATTATCTATAATTTTTGTTATATACAAAATTTTCCTAAAATGGTCCGTATTCGAGAAATTTGACAAAATGTAAAAAAAATAATTTTTTATAAAAATTGTTCAAATAAAAGTTGTTTGTAATATAATTCTCTATAATTTTTATTTCATACATAATTTCTCTAAAATAGACCGTATTCGAGATATTTGAGAAAATGTGTAAATTTCGAATTTTTAAGAAAACTCAAAAACGGATAAAGAAAAAAACATTAAATTTTAAACTTAAGGTTTATTTCGGCCTGACGTGAAATGATTAGATTTTGGACATAGTCGGAACATCTGGGGGGGTACTTTATGGGAGGCCACTTTTATATTTTATGGAATATATCTGTTATTAATGTTTGGAGAAAAAAATTGTTCAAATAAAAGTTACTTCTAATATTATTATCTATAATTTTTGTTTTTTGTAAAAATTTCCTGAAATGGTCCGTATTCGAGAAATTTGACAAAATGTGCAAAATTCTGATTTTTATGAAAGTTTTTAAAATAAAAGTTGTTTGCGATATCGATCTCTATAATTTTTGTTTATGTATGATTTTTCTAAAATGGACCGTAATGAAAAAATTGTAGGAAATTTAAATTTTTCAGTATTTTCGTTTTCCATGAATATCTATAGAAAAATGTTTCGAGGTAGATGTATGTGGACAATGTATATATTTAGTTTATCCTCTAAACATTTATAGAGATGCTGTAATAGGTTGTACAAAATAACCGGAAAAAGCCTACAATAACTAGATAGGAAAGTCATGTGTTGGACACATCAGATTTTTATAATATTACTTAGATCCCTTTTGCTGCCGTTAGTATTCGGGATACGATATGACTTTCGTCAATTTTACTAAAAACAGCAGGCCGACCGTTAATCGAAATATGAACGCCTTTGTATCTATCATACATATAAAATTGATTTTGGGTCTTGATATTTTTCAGCCGCTGCCCTCAAAATCAGCGTTGCATAAGTAATCTCAAAAAATGCTTCTTCTGGTTTGCCTGTGGAGTAACCACAATGCTTCATTTTTCTTTTGTTATTAACTCTTTGTTTTTTATTAATTGGAACGGTCTTTAGGCAGTAAATAAAAAATATAACCAATAAATCATACGTCCGAACTTAGGATTGAAATGTCCGAAATTAGGGTATAAAATGACTATTTTCAAGTGTCTCTAGAGACTCTAAATAATTTTTTAAACGTATCATTTTAAACGTAATATATCACCCTAATATATCATGTTATGTTATGTTGAGAATGGGGTGTTAATACACTGCGACCTAAAAGATCTATTGTGCCCCCTTCTGTCGCCACTGCACTAAGGAAATGTCTTAATGCCTATAGCGACCCTTCCAAGTCATTTTCTCAAGGAAGCTAATATATCATAGTTTTAGCATACAAATATAACTACACAATATAGTACGTACCTCTAAAGTATTCATCCAGCTTACACAACTATACCTGTCCACTAAGCAGCAATGAATGCGACTATAGATCTGGAAACGGCCTACTCAATAGTTCTACGCCTAAGTGAAATCTTTTGAAATAAACTGATAGATAAAGCCACTTGTCCGATATTAGACCGTACCATTTGTCCGAACTATGGCTATTGTCTGAAGTTACAGACTTTTACGGTACCTAGATATTTTGCCGAGTAAGCATAATGGATCTGGGAATTATTTTGGTTAACTAGTATTTGATGACCATTCTTCGTTAGTAAAATTAATATTAACAGATTTGGTTTCGTTCTGGTAATTACATCTTTTGGTTTAGTTGTTTATTTGATAAACTGATGTTTGTAGTTTATTTGCAGCCTCTTCATGATCTTTACCTATCGCTAGTATGACAGTATCATCTGCAAATGTTGCTATTGTGATTTGTTTTAGTTGGAGTATATCACAAGTCTATAACAGATATAAAGTGGGTCCCAGGACGCTTTAATTTCTTTTAATTTAGAGTAGGCTTTATCTAGTTATAGTCTAAAGAATCTATTTGAAATGTGTGTATCCAGTAGCACTCAGTATGTGTAAGCAGCACATTTATTTTATGCTTTAAGCCGGTACATACTTTATCAAAAGCCTGAACAACATCAAGCAAAATGGCTGAACAGACTTTTTTATTTTCTATTGCATTTTCAATCTTGATATTCTATGAACCTGAGCTGCAGTTGAATGGTTTATTCTAATAACAATCTGTCAATCTGCAATTAGATTTATTTCTTTAATGATAAGTTTCTGCCTTTTTATTGGTATTTTTTCAAATAGTTTCGATAATGAAGGAAATAGATATATTGTTCTATATGACGTACTTCTTTTCTTCAGATACTTTTCACAACCAACATATCTTAAAGACCGTCAGATAGTGACTAATTTGGATGCCCCATTTTCCCATACAAGCCTCGAAGAGGGTTGAAAAGGATATCGATTTTGAGTAGATTGGAAAGAAATTTACGAGTGACTCCTGGGAATAACATATGGAAAATTCGATTTTTCTTAACAGAAATTAAAGGGTATTTGTTGTCCATATTTTGAGGCAAGCCTAAATGATTAACTAATAGAACTAGGATTCCGAAAACTAGAGGCTTTAATGTTGCAAAGGGTTAAAATGAAGGCGTAATCTTATTTTTCAACACAAGTCCATCGAATGTATGAAAACGTACAAGGTCACTAGTCTGAAAAACATATTGGCTTAAATAAACCGAATGTATAAGTCCATTATCACTCTGTAGAATGAAAACTGGGACGTTTACAGTAAAATTATATTTAGCTTTTCTCAATAATTAGTTAAGATCTACACATCTTCAGATTACGATACTTTATTCTAAATTTCAATTGTTACAAGTCCTATTATTATTCGTTTTTAAAGGTTAAACATTATGGTTATAATTGTTTATCAATACTTTTAGTAGATAGAGTACTTAATAGGAACAAATAATGAATAAATAGATAGATATTAAACTTTTATTTACAAACCAGGACGAAATAAATTACAATCAATCTGGAACAAAAAAAAAATAAACTATTGAAAAATGCATATAAAAAGTTTAACAATTCATATGTATCTTATAGTGGTATTCGAAGTTTTTTTAAATAATTTGACAAACAGTGAATTTTTTGTAATAAATGTTTTTTTTTTATTGAAATTGGATCCATTACAATTTATTTGGTCACTTTTTGAAGATGAAATCGGCCAAGTGGCCACCTCTGGACGTTATACAAAAATCGGCCCGTTTTTCGGCATTTTCCATCACTTTTTGGAGTGTTTCTGGTTAAATGGCAGGCGATTTCTCGGAGTATGTTGGCCTTAAGTTGTTGCAGAGTGACTGGTTTATTGGCATAAACCTTAATGTATCTGTGACAAAATGACGTTATTGATAACCCTATTTACAAGATAAGTGCTATAGAAATTATTCTATCGCATTAATTCAAAATATTTTCAACGCAAATTCCTTCGAAAACCAAACAAATCATTCCTCTTAAAATCTTACAACAGGTAATACGAAATCATAAAAAAAAAACAAGAAACATTAACAAACATTTTAACATCCTTACACATACATACATATGAAAATTGTCATATATGTGATATGTGATAAAGGCGGTAATGTATAATCAGAACCTAAATATACCCTAAGTTAAAATTGTTTTTAATTATGTTTATTCTCGTTTATTTCTAGCCTTTACTGTTGTCTCCTGCCATTTTAGTCCCCGTTTCTTTAGTATTTCCGCTAGTGCATTATCCCTTGTTTTTCTTTGTATTTTCCTTTGTATTTGTCCACATGTTCTTGTTTGCCATAATATTTTTTGCTTGTTGTTTATTTATAATTAGTGGCCAAATTATCTTAACTGATGTCTTTCTATGCTTTCAACTAGGGGT